GCATGATAATTACGATAAAATTTTTTTAACCGTTCGACTTCCCCTGTGTACTTATCAAGAAATGACTTTATTACGAATTTACGTGAATTTTCTGTTTGGAAATCGTCTAACCTGTCATCATTTTGTAGCTATTTATGTATTTATTAATACGAAAAATAAATATTGTTGAATTATTAGTCTGATCGTTGAAAAATTAGGATACCAAATAAAATGTGCATAGTAGAATATGTGTTGTCATATGTATAAAAATAATATGGTAGGCATATTATACTACTACTTTTCAATTCTTCTTTTTACTTTGCAAACAAGATTTTTAAAACTGTTAATTTATAAACAAATCTTTATTATATTTCATTAAAATATTGAATTATCTTCGTTTTTCCCATAAAGAATTTTATAGAAAGGAATGATTATCACAGCATATTCAATATTTTCCGAATCATTTGATAATGGCCTTGTCATGTTAAAAGGTATGAAAGGTTTAAATAATCCAAGTATGGTATGGTTTATAGTTCCAAATTTCGGTGATTCCAAATCAATTTTATAAAAGTAGCATCGGTAATTCTTTTAGTAACTTTCCAAAAAGATATTTATAGGAAACAAGTGACCTTAGTAAAGTTCACAATTTTCAGTGCCTCATTTATGGCTTGTTCAAATTTTTCTGAAAGTTTAATATGATCCATATTCATATTAGTTTCAAATTATTGATAATTAAAAGTATCTCAACTTTTGTTGTTGGTCTTCTAGTAACATTTAGTACTTAATTAGATTGGCTAAATTAGCAACTCTAGGTTGTTTTTCTGCACTCACTTCAAATTTATCTCTGATTTTGCATAAGGGAATAATATTTTCAGTAATGTTAAACTTATGGGAGTTGTGCTATTAAAATTAGGTTACAAAACATAACGTAGTAAATTAAATGATCCGATCATGAATTTTAATAGCATACATCCCATATCCTTTTATATTTTTCAGAAGTATATAATTACATACATCCAAAGTTTCTATTTTTGGTAAGGGGAAATTTTTGAGTGGAGATAAAACATTTCTAGCAATAAAATGACCATATAATTTTCATCATGATCCATTAATGATTTCAAATATAGGTGATTTAGATTGATAAATTATTAAAGTCATCCTTATCGTACTAATACACTCAATACACTATTACTATTCTTAGCAACTAACTTTGATTAGGCCCATGACAAGTTATTGCTTTTGTTATGATTATTGAAAAAAAGTCAAATAGCAATGTGAAGAAAATAAAGCTTTAGCGAGAAGTATAGAAAATTTTGGGCTAAAAAAAAAAGGATAAATTAATTTTCATTTTCATAAGTAACCCGATCTAGGGATTGGAATCGATGGGTTTATCATGAAATCCCGACAGTAATAATCCAGACGGTCTGAATCCCGACAGCATAATACAATCCTGACACTAACGAATACCTGAAAGTTTATAATACTGACATCGACAATCACGAAAACCCGATAAGCATAATTCCTGACAAGCAAATAATCTATTTAACAAACTTAACCCTAATCTAACCTAAACTTACCCTAATCCATACCATAATCCCACACCCTAATTCCATACCCTAATCCTAACCGGGATTTTGAACTAATCGGGTTTTTTGTTTGTTAGGTTTATGGACCATCGGGATTATGCTCTTGTCAAGATTTTTGGATATCAGGTTTTTGGGTTATTCAGGATTATGATGTCACGTCAGGATTATGGTTGACGGGATTTTTGAGGGAACCCGAATCGATTTAATCGAATCTCCAAATTTTTTTTTCTGGACAGTTTCTAATTTTAGCAAAATGATCAACACTTAGGGTAATATAGCAGCAGCAGCATTGAAAAATACTTTGGAGTTAGATCGATTAATATGTAAAAAATAAAAAAGATTCGATTCGATTCGATTAATTTTACCATGTTGAATCGATTTCAATCCCTAACCCGAGCTGCACAAATTTCCTTTTAAAGCGTGTAATGCTTGAAGAATAAAATACCAGAACAATCTTTATTGATGGTTTTATTTTTTGTTTACTAATTTGGATACCATGTCGGTCGATAAAAATTTTTAATGTTGCTTCAAACAAAATTAAATTTATTGTTTCGTAGTTATTCAGAATCACCTGATTAAACTGCTTCTAATGACGATTAAACATACTCGACTTCTTTTTTTTCTCCACCTGTCTTTCCCCTACCTTTTCTTCTCCGCTTGCCTTTACTATATATCTAACATTACATTAATTTTCTTCTTTTTTTACCTGACTTTCTACATATCTTCTTTGCTTCTGAAGCTACGACTTTTCTTTACTTGTCTCCATCTGCCCTTTTTCTCGCAGAAATTCAAAAATAATATCTGGTAAGTGTAAAACCTTACAAATTTTTCTATATGGGTTAGACTTTTGTCCACATAAAGGTGTGGAAGCAAAGAACTTGGCTTGACTTTAAATTTTTGATAGTTTTATCGTTATCGTTATCGTTTTTATCAACTTTTATCACAAGCGTCATAATATTTTAACTTTAATCTTTATTTTATAAATAAAACCGTTACAGTATTGTTGGAAGGATGACATAGCATTTACTTTTGTGGAAATATCCAAAAGCTTGGCGCAGAAGGAATCGAGGTGTGGTTTCAATCCATAAATTCTCCTCCATTTTTATGTTAACAAAGGGAATGAATGACGATATGTAAAATCAGATTGTTTATATTTTTGTTTATTTTTGATTAACAATTTCAGGTATGGAGTCGTACATGGAGGTTGGAACCTGTTAAACAATTCGGTTTTAAATTGGTTATTAAACTTATTAAATATAAAAAGGTCAGCTTTAATGTTCTATAATTTATCATCATTTCTTTATTAACTTTCTTGTGTTTATTTCTATTCAACATTTAGATATCAATTCTTCGAACTCAACAACAGAATCGAGTATCTATTACAGGATCATTGAGTTAATTTAGTATAGAAAGTGCTAAAGATAAAGAAAAGTTTGATGTAAAAAATGATGCTTCATATATCCTGAAAATAAAAAAGCAATAGAACGACTTTAATTTACAAATTTAAGGTGTCAGGTCGAATTATTAAAGAAAGTCATCAGTTTACAAGATAAACATCTGCTTACAAAAAGTAATAATTGAATTATCACAAGGAGGTAATATTTTAAACTAGCCAAAAATAACAACTTTGATGGATTTTACGGAAGATTAAATATAATTCTTTAAAATTAATTTTAAAGTCCTAGTTTGTTGACATTAATTTCGAACCTTGACTTTTTTTATATCTCAGATTGTATGATTCGTTTAATCAAAAATGATTAAGAATTCACGTTTTGTTATTATATATTGTTACTGCATTGCAAAATCCTGTATCAAAATCATTTAATAAATAGTTGTATAAGAGTTTTTCAAATCTAACCTTTTTTCATGTGCGTAATTAATTAAGAAATGTCTTAATCTTGAAAATGCAAGAGAAAAGCATATAAAGTCGCATTTTAATATGTATTAATAGCCTTTACTATAATTTGATATGCTTTCTTTAGCTTTGATTCACCTGGTTTTTCATATTTGTTGCTAAAAAAAAAAATATTCTTTTGCGTTTAGTGTACGTACTGCCCCAGTGCAAAATGTTTCGTGGCCAATATGTCCTGAGGCCCCTGGACATTATGTCCTTATTAATTTTCAGATATAAAAATGGAATGGTGGTATATATCTTGAAATGAAATATATGTTCCATCTTCCTTAATAATAATAAAATAGCTGATAATAACCAAAAAAATGATTATTCGTGATCATAAACTACTTTATTTGTTTTGGCAAAGAAATTAAAATTTTTTTTATTGCATATAATTGGTGTTTTTCGCTACGCTCGGACTTTGAAAATGCATATGAATACCTTTGGCACACTTTTGATATTTGTGACAGCGACAATGTTTGTTAAATTTTATGATAGTAATGGAATTATTAATGATATGTTAAAAAAATTTTATTATTTGTATAAAAAGAAATTTTTTTAAAGTAGCACAAATGTAATCTGAATTTTGAATAATTAAAACTTTAGGGTCTATTTGATTATTAAATTAATGTATCGTATTAATGTAATTCAGAAACATCTAGGAAATAGTGTTTACAAATTTTGGTTTGACATGAGTTAATAGTAAAAATTATAATTAAATATCTATAAATTAATACAATTAATCCGTTAGTTATGGTTCTTTTTAAATCATGTATAGTCCTGTATTATTTAGAAACCATACAAGCATGGACCATACCTTTGAAATAACTGTATTTTCCAATATAATTGTTCACTCTTTAAAGAAATGTACTTATTCGTATTGAGATTTTTAATAACGCATTGAAATTGTTGAAATAGAATTAGCAAGGGAAAATGATTTCTAGAGAATTGATTTAATTATAATATATGGAACGTTTGTTATTAAAAATCAAATGGGCATATTCATTTTTATAGCAATAGCAAACAACCCATCTAGTAAATTATAATAAATATTTTTATTTATTTAATCACACATTTATAAACGTAATGATATGATTGATGTACATTGTGCAATACAATACGTCTTTCAATAATATAACAACAACATAATTCCCACATTTTAATTTTAAAATTTTTTTTTATTCGAATAATTGATATTTTTATTTTTTTTTAATTAAAAAAAAAATAAATAAAGAATTATGATAAGAAATAAGGGTAATGTGACGTCATCATGAAAAGAGGTTAACAAGAGATTCATTAATCTCATTAATCGTTCGAAATGAAAACAAGCCGAAGATAATTTATTTTTTCTTTTAGGCTATATTGAACCGGTTTTGCATCCAGCATTGCATTCCAGGTTAAATTCTTGATTTTTAAGATGGGAAAAAGTTGAGCTATTAATCCATATGAGGAAAAGGTTATTTGTTTAAAGAGAAATGATTTTCGAGGGCTGAAATTGATAAATAAAAATATTCTTCTTGAAATAATTAAAAAATCATAAAATGGTTTTAAAAGAAAGCCATGAAAAAACCTTGAAAGATTTGAAAAAAAGAATTAACGATTTAGATCAAAGTAAAAAGGAAGCTGACGAGAAAAATCTATCACTACTCTCCTTTTTATGTAATGAAATAGGCAGTAAGGATTTAGATAATTTAAGAGAATTATTAGCAGGAAAGAAGCTTATTGAGTTATTATCAGAACTAGATGACCATGAGCATCGTATTCAAAGTTTAAATGATGCTTTAATACAAAAAGGAGAAGAATTATCAAACTTAAGATCTCGATTCAAAAAGTCAGAAGAAATGGTTGAAGAGCGAAAAATAGAAGTCAAAACCAAGCAAGTAATTATTAATTATCTAGAAAATAAGATTAAAGACCAAGAGGTAGAATCTATCACCAAACAAAAAGTTGTTGATGATTTAGAAGAAATCATTAGAGAGAATGAAACAAAATTCAAAGTCAATCAAGTAACTATTATCGATTTAAAAAAAAATATTAGAGAACTAGAGGAGAAAACCAGAGCCAAGCAAGAAACGATTGATGATTTAGAAGAAAAGTTTATAGAAGTAGAAGAAAAGTCAAACATAAGCTAGAAAGTATCAATGATTTAAAAGTAATTATTAAAGGGCTAGAACAAGAAACCAAAGATAAGCAAAAAAAAATTTTAATTTAGAAGAAAAGTTTAAAGAAGTTAAAGAAGAGGTCAAACTTAAGCAAGGAACGATTAATGAATTAAAAACAATGATTAGAGAGCATGAAATAAACCTCAAGAATCAAGCACCAACTATTAATTATGATTATGCTATTGATAGTTTAAGTATTACTTATTCTAATAAGGATGAAATATTAAACACCTCAGGAGGATTACAAAAATATCGAAAATTAACAAATCTCTACATTGAATATATTGAAATAACTAGCTTACCGCCTTTACCTAACTCCTTAACTTTTCTTGACTGTTTAGATACTCAATTAACAAGCTTACCACCTTTACCTGTCTCCTTAATTAAACTCTGTTGTAATCAATCTCAAATAACTAGCTTACCAATCTTACCTAAATTCTTAACTTATCTTGAATGTTCTAGTAATCCAATAACTAGCTTACCAGATTTACCTGAATCTTTGACTCATCTTAACTGTGCTGATACTCAATTAACTATCTTAACTACTTAACAAAACTCAGGTGCAATAAATCTCAAATAACTTGCTTAGCAACTTTACCCGAATCCTTAACATATCTTGACTGTTCCGATACTCTAATAACTTGCTTACCACTTTTACCTAACTCCTTAAGTTTTCTTAACTGTTCTAATACTTCTATAACTAGCTTTTCAGATTTACCTAACTCCTTAAGAATCCTTATTTGTGAAAATACTCCGATAACTAGTTCATTAATACCTCGGTTCTTTGATATACAATGTGAAAGGAGAAGGGCGAGTGAGGGATGTCATATAAATTAAGTTAATACTTGTTTAAAATTTTAAAAACATGCATAATTTAAAAAAATCTTAGCATAAAACAAAATCGTCTCGAAATTTACTTTACCATCAGAATTTTCAAATTTAAATTGTAAAATATTAATTAAAAAAATAAATTTTGAGACATTTTGCTTTTTTGAATCCCATTTTATTATAATTCTGAATTAACCAAAGCCGAAAGTTGAAATTTTCGGTTTTAGTATAGTTGTATATTCAGAATTTAGTTCTTATAAGATTGGGCAAAATATTTTCAATTATTTATTATGAATTTATGATTAAGTATTCTATTAATAATAGTAAGTAGGATATTTATAATTAGAAATTCTAGTATATGACTAGTGATAGATTATTTTTTTTCCAAAAATTTAGTTTATGATATCTGCTGCATCATATATAATTACTAATATTAATTATCAAAAAGAAACGGCTGTTAGTTAATACAAACTATTTTTATAGACGTACATACGAGCAACCTTCACGGAAAGTCTCAACAATTCGGGCTACTGATAAATTGGAACTGCACTATAGACATTTTTCTTGGAACCAATTCTAATAAAGATAAATTTTCTTATTAAATCGTGATATTTAATGATATAATGGAAATAATTATTTCGCGACTTGGGAAAATTGTGTTCATTTACTGTTTTCTCCGCTTTATTTTTAAAAAAAAAAAAAAATAATAATAAATATCATTCTTTATATTAATTCATAATATAGTGAACAAAATTTAATTCTTTTCAATTAGGTTCATATATTGGTTTAGACATTTCTGACGTTCTTATAGCGTATATTGCATATTCATATACTCTTTTCATGTTATAAAAGTATAGAATTTTGAAACTCGCTTTCAGAAAAATTATCCTAATCTACTGTAAATCGAGAATAAAAAAAAGATTTTTTTATCTTACTACTAATATAGCGTCGATCAGGTTGATTGTTCGGGTTGTATTTTGGAACGTGAACATTTTCTTTTCTTTAAGTTCCTCTTACAAGTTTGATCATTTCTGCAAGTATTAGGTAATTTTTTTAATGGCCTTTGATATCTTTAGACTGTAGCGATTTATTTTTTACATTTCTTTTTTTTTGATTATGTTTCTAATTTGTTTTTGTCTTTATTTTTTTTTAATTCTTTCTCGGATTTGTGAGTCATTCGATCTGCTATATATTGTATTGTAAAGTTTTTTTATTTTTTTTTATTTTTTAATTTAAAATTTATTATATTTTTTTTAGATGGGTGCCGTAGAGACTATATTAGCCTTTTTTTTTATTCTTTATCATTTCGGGTCAATTTTTTTCAGTAGTAAGGTTTGTATATATACATCATTTATTTTCGTTCTTAGTTTCATTTTTTTATTTTTACCGATCATTAGAACCGTGGCGATCGAAATTATCTCCGCCCTTTTGGTTCGAATGATTTTCTTTTTCTTAGACTTTTGGATCTCTAAAGTAATCATAAAGCAAATATTATTTCTTTTAATAACTTTATTAATGATTTATTCAATCTAAAGTATAAAAAAAAATTATACTTCCAAGTTATTAAAGATCATTTTACAGGTCGGTCAATAAAAAATAGTTATAGAATAATAAAAGAAAAAAAAACTTTGGAATTCATTGATGAAATTACTGAAGACAAAGACTTATTAATGTTGAGTAAACTATATCAGGAAGGGAAAAAAATATTACATATACTGTACATAAATAAATAACCTGGTTGGTTTCTAGAAAATCATCATATTTATTATCAATAAGACTACCAATGCCGATAGTTTCAGAAGAGACCAAAAATGTAGAAGTAATCCCGTAATGCTTTAAGAATTTCCAAGTATCAAGTTTTTTGGTCGTATGTCTTTCGAACTTCTTCCAAGCGAGACTTATTTTCTGGATGCAATTATAAATCAACAACCAAGGTGCTGCTTTTGGGTCTTTGTATTGTCTCATTAATATATTAATCATCTATTCGACTTGGGGGAAATACTTTGACACCAGCACCAATAAGAGGACCGGCGGCTTTTTGAAATAAAGTATTTCACAGCTAACTATGCTAACTATTATAACAATTTTTTTTGCATGTATTATGAAAATTATCCTTGGCTTCCTTGGCAGTTAATGATAGTTTAAAATTATTTTAGGGATCAGATTTGACGAAGATATGATTATAAGCTTCAACATACTTAAATAATTGGGTAAGATGATGAAGATAAGAATAATGTGATTACACGCACCTTTATTTATTTCTACTCCAAGCTCATCACTAATATTTCGTCATTAAAAATACTCTTGATAATGTGCAGAATGAAGAATATCTGATACATCAACATATTGATGAGTTGAAAATAAACTTTTGTTGTAGCCCAATGTGTAAATGTCCGATAATTTTGCATCTGTAGTACAACAAACGCTTCTCCAAACCGATCAATCTCGGTCAAGAGCGTTTTGATCATTAAAACCAATGATATAACCAACATTACGCGATAAATGTCATCTAAGGGTCATGGACACGTAAAAGGAATCATTATCTGAAAGGCTTTCACAACACGCAAGGTAACGGCGCATAACATGTACTCTTTTTGTAGTTGTGTTCGAGAACAACCAGAGTCCTAATGTCGTATTGATAAACTTTCCTTTTTCTTCAAGAAATTCTTTGTTTAAGACGGAACGACGATCGGGAACTTTGCGTAGACAAATTTGACTTATAAAAGAGATTTCCTTCAGACTGTACTTTACTGTAACCCATCCCATTTGGTCAAATTAAATTTATACGGACGAGGTTAGTTACAAAAAAGAGGTGATTTGATTTACCATCTGAACAAAGAAAAGAATCTGTGGTTCTTATTCATACAAGTTCAATATATTAGTAAATTTCTTTATAACGTGCAATTTGCTATTTATTAATTTAAACGGAACGATATTTATTTGGTCGAAATAAAGTATTATTAATTATGTACATGTATATCTCTCATCGACCTCCATTGTCATTATTAATCATATTAAGACAAACAAAGAATTCGGTAATCATTTTGAACCAATTTTAGGAATTCATGTAAATACTGTACATTTGAACCTTTCAGTTTTCATTATATAATAATCTCAATGGTCGTATTAAAATCATGGTACTGTATATATTTCGGAGTTTATGGTGATTAAACGTAAGCAGAAAGGTTTGTGTTTGATGTTTAATAGTTTTTATTTAACAATAATCTGGATTCTAATCTAATACAACATAATTAAAGTATTGCCAAACTTCGTCGAAGTTATCTGAGTTATTATAATAAAATTTAAAGGGAAAAGAGAATAACACAAAGGTTATTACTTAGAATTTATCGGATATTTCGGGGATTTATTAAATAAATATGAATATCGAGAATATATTACTGCACATTAGTGTATTTGAATCTGTATCTTAAATTTTATTAAGGAAAAATCCCGCCGTTTATATGGATGAAAAACAATAGGAAACAAATCCATTACACTCATTCTAATCCTCCTAGAAATATATAAAATGAATGATTCAAAAAACGATTCTGAAAATAAGCATCAATTTTCATAAAGACGACGATTTTGTAACTATAAATGAATATTTGGAAATTCCAATAAGTGACAATAAAAGTTAAATTTCGTGAAATTCGAGTAAAACAAGAAGATTTTGTTAGCGCATATGAAAAAGATAGCTTTTTATCAAGCATCTCCAGCATACCTTGAAATTATTAAGTTCATAATCCTATTAGTTATTATTATTCAAATTTATTGATGAATAAAAAAAAATAAAAATTCATAATCCAACAAACGAACTGAATCATCTTTGGAAATAATTACAATATATTATAGAATCACAGAAATTTATTATCAATATACTCAAATTATAATAGAAAAAAATATTATTACTATCAAAATATAAATTATTAAAAAGGTTTCTGTTTCGGTGATGCGAAAGCAACAAAGGTAAAGTTATTAAAGTTATTAATTTATTGATTTTGATTGATTTTGATATTTTCATATATTTTTTTTTTAATATCCGACTGGTTTTATAATTTATCATATGGGGTGAGTGCTGGGAAAATGGACCAAATTGATTTTTTTTTAAAAAAAGTTTTTAAGTAAATAGATGTAGATTTGGTCATCCGATTCAGATCATTTGTTATTTCAAAAAAAAATTTTTTTGTCGATTTGGTCCCTTACCCAGCATCATCCCATATACTTTATTAAAAAATTTAATTGTTGAAAAGTGGAAACCAGTTTATCGCTCGCAAAGGTAAGCATATTAAATTCATATTGCTTCACTTTAAAGTAGCAGTTTATTTTTTTAGGTATACGTTTATATAAGATAGTTTTGTGGAATCATCAATTTATGTTTTAATGTCTTTACGAAATTTTCTTATAACTGTCAAATAAAAAATTGTGTAACTAAATAGTAATTGAATTATTAATAACTTTTTTTGAATAAGATATAACGAAGTTTCCTGAGGAGCTTGTGTTGTAGAATATTACAAATGTTAAAATATACTCAAAATATTTATATCATTTAAAAAAATGAAACGCGTGATATGGTTTCTTTCTGAAATTTCACGAAAATATAATATATCTTCAATTTTACCTTTATTTGCATTATCAATTAAGCGAACGAGTATATTCTACATTCTTATAACAGTATATTAGCTAGAATCTAGAGCAATCGATTTTTTTTCGGTTATAAAATAAAGATCTTAATACATATCATCAGAGTACAGGGAAAACCGGTACGGTTAGGTCGACCAGTACGGTACGATCATATTTTTTGGAAAATTACTGTACTGATCAGACGATTCGTACTGATTTTTTCTCCAAATAGCCGATATGAAAATATAATAATGCAGTTGTTCTATGAACAGTTTGGATTGAAGCATTTCTCACCTTTAAATTGATTAATGAAAATGTGTAAATATCTTCACAAATTATTTATTACTATAATAAATCTATTAAAAGGTATTTCGAAATCTTTTATGCAATAAAGTTTTATCATAAGTTACTATTATTTTTGTGTAATGAAGTCGATTTTATATTAAATTCTATACTATTATAAACTGGATCAATTGATCAGGGCTTTCGAATCGAAAGGTGGAATGGATTAATGCGCAGTTATTCCTTCAAGATAGTCTCAGTCAATATTGCTACTGCTTCCTGTATGACGCTATGTGACGAATAGTGATTGACGAATAGATTTTCACTACTTCTGTCCCCAGAATACTGTACATAGTAAAATGAACAAGGAAGGAGGGACATTGGTGATGCAAAAGTATCACGTGAATTATCGTGACATTTTTTATTATTTGAATCACTAATGAACAGAAATCAATTGTTATTTTGAACAATTATTCACTAAATAAATATTGTACAAAATTTTTTTAAGTTAACCGAAAGTTTCTTACAGCTGATTACTGTATTCGAATCGTTTTAAAAATGATCTTGCCGACTTGAATTTCTAATTTGATTCTGAAATGATTTCAATCCATATACAAAGAAAACCAACTATTATTGCCTCCTCCAGAGCTCAGTATTAGGCCTCAAGGTAAGATAATATAGACTTATTCTTCTTGTTTAAATACAAAAGAAAAACGCTCTATTTTATTGATCCTTTTAAATTAAAAATACTACACTAAATATTATTTATCAAAGATGTCATAATTAGACGAAATAATATATTTCCTGATCTGAGGGTCAGAAATATGATGCGCAGAAATTTTTTCTAATATTTGACGCAGTATGTTCTGATGGAAGAATTTTCACTTCAAAACCTCTTTGCCAAAAGCTAAATTCTAAACTTCCGGCTTTCCCAAATATAAGAGAGTATTATGGGATTAATTGGTAATGTCAGGTTTGTTTCTTCATTTAACTCGATCCACGTGACCAAATTTTGGTTGCAATTAGTTAACTTGCCGGAAGGATTTTACATAAATTTTTTTTAAATTTTTTATTAATTAAGGCTTTTAATAACGCAATAAGAATTATAAAGAATAATACTTCTTTATATAATTTCTTTGTATTATATAAATTCTATGTCCGAGTAAATATAATTCGTGTTATAATTGTGGGTGATACTTTAATAGTTATTTTTTTTTATATATTGCTTATTTCAAGGAAAAATTTATAACAATCAACCGTTCAAGGCTACTGGACTAACGGTTCATAGATCGTCTTTGGGAATTATAATTCTTCTAAATGTGATTTAAGTGCTTCTTAATCGTTTTATTCTTCCAATTTGTAGAGCACTTTACGCAATTTCTCTTAAAATGGAGCAGTAAGGCTGAGTCGAATTTTTCTTTCTATAAATACGTTTACAATTTGAATAAATTTATAAAAATACTTCCAATAAAGATTGTGAAAAATAATTCATTTTACAAACATCAAAAATTTATCTTTATTATAAAATATTATGAAAATATAATATTTTTTATTTATCCTTATTGGCCGATAAAAGTTTTTTAATATTTGCCAACTCATTTTGTATATTCAATAATTTTTCATCAAGATTATCATTCGTAACATCTTCATCATCATCCGAATGATTTGATGATTCAAATAATGATTTATGAGCTTTCCTATACTTTTCAGCTTTATCCATCCATTCATCTTGATATTTTGAACTTCCAACATAATAAATATATCTCGGATTCCCTCTATGGCCACCAATTATTTTGTCTGCCATTTCATAATCAGCAATTAAATCGGCTCTATAACCTAACACCGCTAATTTTACATTGAGTTTTGCAATATCATATACACCAGTTATAAATGCGATAAACAAATTCTGCATAATGATGATCATTAAAAGACTTGCGCCTTAAAATAGAAAATAAATTATTTAAAATCTTCATCAGCATGATATTATATTATATATGAAATACCTTACCTATACTAATTACATGAATTGGCCAGAAATCCCATTCTTCTAATTGATCCCATCTTCCAAGAACCCAAAAATAAACTCCCAAAACAGAATGAATAAATTGTCTATAATAGTTCTCAATCGGATCCGTAAGATTAATGACTTGTTCAATTGTCGTGTCTGCAAATGCTGGATTTGGTGATTTAATCACAAATGTATTGCCATTAGGTACCAAACTAATCAATTTAGGATCCTCTAATATAATATGCTAAAAAATATTGAATTTATAAGTAAACAACAGATTGATCTCAAGATAAAAAAATGTAAGACATACCATTGCATGACCGAAAGCAATGACCACAATAAACTACACAATTTTTTAAAGGGCGAATTAATTAATCGATCATCTTCATGCTTATAATGAAATGATTAAATTTACCATAAAAATTAGGAATGGCCAAATCGCTTTTAAAATGTTTAAAATCATGTTAATATAAGTTGCAGTACCTAAAAACAAAAAAAAAATTTAAATTGATGATACACAAATTTAATTAAACTAATGATTGAATATAATGGAATATAGTCAAGATATATACTCTTAAAGTATCGCATCAGGAATAACTAGAAATTAAATTAAGAAATTAAAATCATTGAAGTTTAAAAAAGTAATTAATAAATATACTATTTACAAATTCAAACCATAAAAGTAAGACCGCAAATGCTTGCGGAATAATGATAGCTTTAATTTCTTTATCATCTTCATAACCCATGTTTAAAAAGTAAGGGCATATTTTGCTTTAATAAAAGTCGTGGCCTCACATTTAGTGAACAAATTTCAGATTTATATCCATTTATTAATTTACTTTGGTTCACAAATTTTGAATCTACATATTCTTCTTTGGATCCAAAGCAAGGTTTGTATAATAATTCCTTCAAATAAGGTTCTGCATTTACAATGATGCAAATATCATTTAATGTTTAATAAATAATACGTATGAAGAACGCAAGCTACGTCGTCATTTACTTACCAAAGCTACTATTGTTAAGCGAAGGAAATGCCTTGGTAATTGTAAACATCCAACCTATAATAACGGAATGATTCTTTAATGATAATTTTTTGATTTTATGTGAAAAATTGATTAACTCACCCGTATCATTTTCCGCATTATTTGAATAATATTCGAGCAACATGGCGACGATAACTGTATCCCTGCGACTAGAATCTGAAGTTATGTTAATAGCAAGCATCAAATCACTTTCTTTCGTTCTTGTAGACCACTCATATTCCCTTGGAATATGCAAAAAACGACTAACTTTCGTTTTATCTTGTTTATTGCGAACTGCTTCTTTATGATCGAATAGAATATTATGTAGCAACGGTTTACTCTTTGAGCGGATGATATTGGCCATAATTTCATATCGTACTTCAGATAAACTCCATAAATCCGGATTGTTTTTAATGCAAGTTTTAATAAGTCTTTCTGTGCATACAACCAAATCTTTGTATTTGCTTAGGTTTCTCGTCCCTACCGGTTCGTCTCTTCGTTTATAAAGATGTTCCATAGCAACACATGCGTCTTTGAGGACATGAGCTTCATTTGGCCAATGAATCATATTATTATGCACTTGATTTTTATAATCAGTCCATGATAAAAGTAAATAAAATTCACATTTAGAAACATTTTTCTTTAAAGATACTATTGTAAAATTTTCGTGATTCATCCAAATATAGTCTAAAACCTTTTTATTTGTAGAATCTTTCCTCCAAACTTGAACTGTTGTTTCTCCAATTATAAGTTGTATGGTTTCCTTTTCATCAAGATAAGATTTATTAATTTTACCAATTGTTGTTGGTTGATCATAAACCCAGGGTTCTTTTTTAACGTTAACGTTAAATTCCTTTATGACTTTAAAGTCATCAGTTTGTGATGAAAATTTTGGAATAAGTTTATCTGCACGATAAGCACGAATGCTATCAGGCAAGAATGAGAGTATAATTTCATTTGAACAAGCGATTGAATGACTAGACTTTTGTAAAGAACTAAAAATATTTAAAATGATCGACAATCTTGTGTACATCATTTTTAAAGGTAAAAAGATCCCAAACATTAATCGTCGGAGTGGTTCTTCGGTGACAACAAATAATTTTTCATCATTGTTAATAAATGAAATTGAGAGAATTTTTCTTGCATCAATAAATTCTTTCGTTGCAACCTTGAGTCCATTTTCCATTAAATGAATCGAAATATAATTTGTACCGCTATAATATGCTAATAAATGGCCATTCTTTGAAATTGAAAAAATAGGGTTTCCACTCGCTTTCTTTGGTAGAGATATTTCATTAAATGTCAGTTCTAAATCCATGGAATGTAAATTATACAGTACATTTCAAGTCTTTGAAATTTATAATCTTCAACAAATAAATAATTTTTTTCAACTATAGTATTTAAAAATCTCGTACAAGGTAAGTTTTGATATAATTTATTGATCTTAACTTGAATAATTGTTGGAAATTCATATTCGAACTTGTCAAAATTATTTTCAATACTTTTATGTTGAATGAATACTTTTGAAATTCCAGACGCGTTCATTACAATTAAATTAGTGGATTGATATGCTTCCTTTGGAAAATTATTTTTCAAAAATCTAACAACCCCACCACAAATTTCTACAGATGTTTTGATGAGCGCTTTTGATTTTGTTGAAAAAACAAATGTTTCCGCTGAATTAGAATAACCTCTTTCAGGGTCTATAGAATTTTCATTCGAAACCTCATCCTTATTTTCACAAACTTTTTTCATATCTTTATCATGAAAACGTGATAATGCTATGAATGCAATTAAATCTTTTCCGATTTTTGCGTAATTTGAAATGGCCAAAGAAAAAGATATCGCTACTTTTGTAGGAAATGCATTAATTTTCATTTGATCAACATTTATAGTGAAAAGATGAGTATTTCTAATTTCATTATATTCTAAGTTGTAAACATCGTTTTTGATTTCACGGGATTCTAATTTGTCAATGTCTTTGTTAATTTCTAAACTGTAAACTTGAAGATCATAAGTTTCTAATCATAGATAATGCGAATGAATAAAATTAATGATTATTTCATTCATTTATAAAGTAAAAAAGGAATGTAATTAATTCAAATTCATACCAGAATTAAAATTCACAGCAAGCTCTCCGTCTGGACTTAAAGCTACATAAATGGACGAATTATCATCGTCCGATAATGTTATATGTTCCTTTATAATATCGACCATTTTTGATAAAGGTAATCCTTTAAGGTGAATTTAAATACGTTATTATATAAATATTTTTTCTCCAAAAAGTTGATTATCTAATTTTATTTCATAACGATTAAATTTGTACAAATCTTGAAGGTATTTCTATTATGTTACCTTTTAAGTATGTGGCGTTTTCTCTTGAATTCCTTTTTTTTTAATATTATTCGTTTTATCGAATATTTTTCTTAAATGCATAATTGATTATCATAGTACATTTTTGGCTTGCCGACAGACAGTGTAACAGGCTAAGCCATTCTTTATCGCCAAATTTGTTATGGACTTGAACTATTTAAAAAATTGTAATTTTAATCTTTATTTACAGTTTAGTTGTAGAATTTTGCAATATGAATATTTATGTGATACAAATTTTGAATTTTATTTATGTTATGTTGTCCTTAAAAGATTGTCGATCTTTTTTTGAAATAATAAAGGTAAACACAAGTAACATGAAAGATTTAAAAAATGGATGATCTACAAATGATGCAACATAGTAAGCTGACTAAGATTTGAGAGATCAGCATAGGCCAATTGACCACTTGATCTAGTTCAACTTGTCCTATGGTCAAGTTGTCCTTTCGAATGAAAGGTAAAAAAAAGGTGGATCGTTAACTGGGTTCGAATAGATAGCAAGATGGCATTTATTCATAAGTTTACATATTCCTTTTAGGATAGTTTTTTATTAGCCGCAACGATCAACATTTAATAAAATTGACTCCGAAAAGTAGACGTTGAGGCAGTTTGATATGATTAAATAATATTTGCCTAATCAAAAAAAATTCTACTACATTTGTCATTCGTTTATAAGTATAAACTATGTATCAAAGATACTCCGAATTCTAAATAAAGAAAAGATCATCAATATAAATATTGTTTTATATTACATTTTTTTATAACAAAGTTTATCAAAAGTCAGAGTCAATGGCTGAATTGATCCTACAAAAACTAAGAGAAGTTAAATCCTAGAATTTTCAAATGACAGCTGGTATTAAGTCGCTATTCCAAATTTAAATATCATAAAATTCATAATTAAAAGAAGGTTTTTTTTAGCCAAATGGGATTAAATTTTGGCTAAAACTTATAATTACAGTAAAACTCTCCAAATGTATCCTCTATAGATGCACAGAACTTATTTAAATAAATTTTTGTCTGATCCCAAGCTTGGAACTTAAATGATAAATGCATTCAATGATTAAGTTTTAAAAACTAAGCTATGTTATTATAATAAATTAATATAAAATTATATAAAGTTTATACACAAAATAAAGTTTATAAATAATTCAAAGATAATTGCGAAGAATAGTTTTAACTTGACTAATTATACTCCTTTATTGTAATGATAATAAGTTTGCCTATAGGTATTACCTTTTCTAGTAAAAATTTTATCCATAAAGTATTTAAACCTATTTTTCAAGTAAATCTTAAATCTTTTTTGAGTTATATAATATATACAATTTTCATTTAAACTAATTATATAAAGGTCTAATTAAACATTTAAAAACCACATAAGTAATTGTAAATTTAGAAAATAACATGTTTAAAAAAATATAAAGAATTAAATTATTTGATATTTTATAAAAATGTTAATAAAAATGTTTTTAAAAATATTGATTTAAAAAATTTTATTCTATAATACATTAAAACTTTTGTTTTTTAAAGAATTTATTTATTTAAAACTCATTATTAGATATTTTTTTATAAAAAATATTTTAATTTTATAAAATATTATTAAAATTTTAATTTAACTACAAAAGTTTAAGTATTACAAAATTGTGTAATAAAATTAGTTTAATGATATCTCTTACATTAAAAAATTGTTTAGTATACACTTTTATAATATTTCAAAGATTTACATCCTATCACAAATCTATGTTTTTTATGACATAGTATTTTAAAAATAATTTTAGAATAATATTTCAAAGTTTTATTAACCCTATAAATAATCTGTATAAGGAATATATACAAAATTAATACATTTAAAAATGTATAATATATGCAGAAAAAATAATATAAAAAATTTTTAAATATTTTATATATTAGATACTGAAAATCATCTATTTTCGTATGTAGAAAATACGGAATTTATATATTTAAGTAGTATATTGTATATGTTATATTGGTTAGATTTATATTTCTAATTAATATATTATATACATTAATTTTGATTAGATTTTAATATATAATAATTATATTATATACATAATTTTGGTTGTAATTTTACACATTTAATCATTAAATAAATATAATTTTCAAATTAATAAATTTTTATTAAAAAAAAATAAAATAAAAAATAATAAAAAATAATAAAACTTTATTTATTCTATATAAATTAATTAATTATAATATTAAATACGAGTTTTATAATTTAAAATTAAAATTTAAATATTAAATATAAAATATATAACTAATTCTTCTAAATCAGTACAATAAATCTTATGATTTCTTGATTTTCTTAAATTATTATTATATTATATTATATCATGATATAATATTAAAAATAAATATAAAAATTACTTTTTTATGAAGCAACTTTTGTGATGAAGGTGAAAGTAATAACAACTTTAAGGATAGTAGTAACTTTTTTTGTAGTAACTTTAAAAGAAGCAGCAACTTTATTTGTAGTAACTTTGAGAGTAACAGCAACTTCATTTGCAGTAACTTTAAGGGTAGCAGCAATATATGTAGTAATAGAATAATTATCTTTTATAATAATTATAAAATAAATAAAAAAAGAAATAATGATAAATTAAATTCAAATATTTTGTCTTATTATTTTTTTAAAAAAATCCAATAAAATTATCTAAATTTCATCATATTCTAATAAAAAGTAAAAGAAAGAGAAGAAGAAGAAATATCATTTAAAAAAATATATAATAAAAAAAAAAATAAAAATCAATTAATTAATAAATTCATACTATTTTTTATTTGAGCAAAAAATTAGTTATTATCATTATATTTATTGTAAATTTCTTTATTTTCTTTACAATTATTATAATCATAATAATGTTGTAAGTATTTTTAATACTTTCTTTTATTAACTAACTTCTCATTCCAACTTGAATTATCAGATTTCTTTTTTTGAACTATTATTATAATATAATAATTAATATTATCCTAACTGCTAAATAACAAAATATTTTATATACTTTTTCTATTACTTTTAATAAAAAAATTATGTCTTGATTTTTTAGTTGATCTTGAAATTAACTTTCAATGATAACTTACAAAATAAATCTCTGACTTTAAAAAATAAAAAAATAAAAATAAATATTATAAATAATATAATAAATAATATAATATTTATAATTTATTTATTCTTACCAAAATTTCCCAATCTTCTTAGCAAAAATATATCATTCTATTATTTGTTAATATTATTGATATTAGTATTAGCATTGGCTTTAGTGTTAGTAGGACCTCAAACTATACTAATAGAACTCACAAATGTAATACGAACATGCAATTAAAATTATATTGTATGGTATAACTTGGTCAATATTAATGCTAGAAAGATGAAATTACTACCATTAGATTCCTCTCAGTTAAATAAATCCAATGGTATGAATTTCATTAAAGTTAAATTATTGGTTATTGAGAGAATGGGATATGTAGGATAAGTATATTTGTAAAAACAAGCAACTTTTGGTAAAGTTTACATATAAACTTTACGCAAACTCAAATGTGAGTTATATTAGTATAGTTTGGGTCCTGTTTTGGTATTAATATTAGTATTAGTATTGACATTGCTTTTGCTTCTTATAATTTCTATAAATTTTTTTATATTTATTATTTAAAAGGTAGCAAAGAATAATTATTATCACAAAAATTACCAATAATACTTATTATATAGTAGATAAAATTGCTTTTATTATAAAAAAAATATTTAAAAAAAATTATGAATAATTTCGTTAAAATTGAGAAAAAATTAAAAAGATTATATATATATAAAAAAAATAAAATAAAATAAATAAAAATCAATAAAATTTCATTATAAAAATAAATAAATAAATAATAATATGGAAATCTTTATCTAGATTTGAAAAAAATCACATGACATGATATTGAAACTAAAATTTATTTTACAATAATGCTATAGAAATTATGTATACTGCATTGCAAAGCTGCATTGTTTATAAAAAAGAAAGTATAAATAATTTATTACAATTTTAAAATTTATTTTCATTTTATATTAATATTATAATTTTATTTAAAATTTTTTCAGAAAATTTTTTATAATAACAGTAATAATAAAAAAAGCAAAATTCTATTTTTCAAATCTTGAATATCATGGGTATATTTTTCAATATTAGAAGTTTTACATAAAGTTTGAATTACAAGTGATCAAATTAAAACAAAACAGTATAAGATTATCATTGATTAGATTGATTAAACTTATCAAAAGCACACAATTTTAAAAATGATTGTAATATAAAAACAATTAATAATCATTAATGATTTATCTTTAATTAATTCTTAGTTTAACCTTTATAATTCAATATAACATATTCAGAATATATTACTTGAGAAGAGTGAACTGTTATTTTAGTCCATAAATTAATTATATTCTCCTCTCTTGACTCTTCTCTCCTCTCTTGTATCTCTCTCTCTTATTTTTTTCTCTTTTCTCTTGCAATAGTTTTGCTTAAATTTAATTTTAATAAAGTAATAGTAACGTTACTAGAAATAAAATCCTTAAATCATAAGATTATCTTTAGATATAATGAAGACTTTAAAAATTAGTTAAAAAGCCAGAATGTTGAAAACATAAGTAATTTAATTCAAATTCATCCATTAAATTTTATATGATTGATGCTATTTGAAATTTATAATAATAAAAGAATTATAATTTTAAAAATTTTGAAATCATTTTTTTTTCTTAATGATCTCCTACCTGAATTTAATGTTAACAAAAGCTTTATGATTTGAGTTGTTAGGTTGATCTTCCTTTTTGATTTATAAAAAAATGATAGTTTTAGATC